TAAAAGGGAAAGTCCCTAAAGTGAAACCCAAGGATGTTCAAGATAATTAAACACACAGTACAAAAGTACATAATACATATTTTAAAGGTTAAAGGTTTAAGAGATTTGAGTCTTGTTTTTTATATTAAGAGAGTTTCTGGTCTTAAAAGTGTCATCATTAGTAAGATAATAAGTAATCTTTATTTACATAGCGCTTGGAAAGCCAAGAGCGCTCCAAAATTGTTTTGACTTTAGGGAGAAAAACAATCTCATTCACATATCTGTTGTTTTTAAATTGGCCGTCTCAAGGATTGTTTTTCAGACTCTGCCACACTGTACGAGAGGTCACTGCTGGACACTGGACACCAAAGCCCACCCAGCCACAGGTCACAGATCAAAGAGCAAAGGGAAATGCCACCTCCTTGCCCCTCCCCACGCCACTCCAGAACTGAGTGGGTGTGAGAGAGACCGGGGTAGAGAGAGGTTTCTGGAGACGTGATGGTGGAGGCCTCAGGTAGAGACCTAGAGGCAGTTGAAAGTGTGTCCACGTGGTTACATCACCACAGTGTGACCTTTGACACCTGCAGGTGGTTCGAGGAGTCTGGAGACACAACCCCAAAATTCACACCACACATACACTCACACATTCACATTTACATATAGATACATGAAAAAGCAGAACATGAGAAAAAAGCATTTTAAAAGTTTACTCCAATGTAAATAAATATTTTTAATTGTCTATCACTTGAATCTTTAGTTGAATCAGTATTTTTGAGACCAGAAATGTTCATTTGAATTCTATATTGTCATGGACTTAATTGACGTCTGTCCTGACACTTTTGATTTGTTGATTTTGTACTGTGTGAAGTAATTACATTGATTAGAATTAGATCTGATAAAAACACAAATTAGAGAAGTAAACTGAATCATTGCGCTTGCTTTTGTCTGAGGGACATTAGCAACAGCATGAATAGAAATTGTCTTTAAAGTAGAATCAAAATGACTTAACCATAGAAAGTAACTACTGCGTAACAACCTGTGTACAGGAACTGTGGCACTGCACCATTGACCAGAAGTGCATCTCAAATGACCTGATGTGCTTCAAGTGAAAAGACTGTATCTGGAGATCCTGATGTGCATCTGGAGAGACCAAAACCATGGCTTGGACCCTACTGATGTCCAAGATGACATCTCTCGAAATATGACCTGACCTGATGACGACTGAGACCTAACCTCACCCTCAGGGGACCCTGAGGACCTGAGGACCTGAGAGAGAGAACTGGGGAGTGATGTTTATATTTTTGAAATCATACGTTGATGAGTGCTAAATGAGAGAGATACTCATGATTCTTTCTTTTGTTTTTGTTTGTCCCTAGCTTCTGGACATCTGATGATCTATTGGACACAGCCATTTGCAGAACAAGAACCAGCCAATGAAAATCGTCTATTGCCGATGCTATTGCTACAACCAGAACCACAACTGTGACAAAATGCAATATACATGTTAAGTATTCAGACATCTGACAGACAAAAACTTTGACTTTTTTGTCTGGGAGACTGAGCAACTGTTAAAATGTTTTAAAATGATAAAGTATGAGTATTGTAGCGTTTTAGTAGATGTTAAATAGTAGTAAAAGAGTAGAATTTGACTTCCTTTGTTGTTCATAAACATATTTCCACGTAAGAGTTAAAATAGTAGCATACAATGTTATCCTTCTGATAGATCAGCTAAAATATTAGAATCAGAGTTATTTTAGAGACATTAAAAGTGACAGAAGTCACAAATTAGGAATATGCCTTTGCTCAAGCTGCAGCCGAGCTTTGGAGTTAAAAAATAGAGTAAAAATAGGAATAGGTAAATGCATCAACCATAGATGCTTTCAAAAATAGAGATTATTTGTAGCCAGTGCTAATATCAAATGGTAAAGGGACCATTTCACAAACATTTACTTCAGAAGTAGATAAAGTTACTTACAGTTTTATGTACAGTTTTATTAGATACTTGCCAAATTCACTTGTGTTCACACATGAGTGAATGTTGACAATGCAAAAAGTCCATATGAGTGTAGTCTAGATTAATGCCTAGATTAATGAGATAGATTACAACCAACAGAGATTCAAAAGCATTTTGATGCATTTGTGTATAGCACAAAAACAGTATAGTAGATATTTAGATATTGAGAAGTTTCCAGCACAAACACCATTGTAGAATAACTGACCCCAAACCTGCTAAAATAGATTAACTCTTGTAAGGATAATACTAATTTGATTACTGATTTACATTCATCCCAAACTGCCTGAGAGGAGGAAGTGACAGCACTTCCTGGTTCAACAAATGTATTTGAAAAACTGACCGCCAAAATAATGTTCATATTAACCATTTGCCTTTCTGTGTTCACAGTTTTATTCAATGTATGTATAGACATAGAGCAGAATAGACATAGAGCAAAATCCCACAAGCACAAAGCCACTGATAATGAAAGTATAATACCACAGAGAGATTTATTAGATTAAAATGTATGTATAAGAATATGGCTCAATATAAGCAAATATGCAAACATATTTGTGAATAGATTAGAATAGTTTTAAACTATAGTGGATAGTAAAAGTAAAGTACACAGTCTAAGATTAAATAGTGAAAATAATACAGTGAAATAAGTGTAGTGTAAACAATTATCATTAGAATAAAAGTATAGAGTAAGAAAAGTGAAATTAGCTTCTAATTTGAGACTCAGCTCGTTTTTGTCTGTGTTTTGACTGAATCTGCTGAGTTCTTGTGTGTCCAATAGTGTTTGTTTGTTTTTATTTTTGATTTGTTTTTTGTTTGTTTATTTTTTCCCAGGATAGAGGATAAAATCCACTGATATTGATTTGGATGATTATGAGTTTTAATAATTTTTTAAAGTTTTTTTTTGGGATTTTTTTTTTTCTTTTTCCACTTTATTGTTTGAGCGATTTGAGTGATCACATGTGATTATGTGATCAAAGGGGAGGGTGTTAGTATTAGATAGCAATATGGCCTACATGCAGGACTCTACAAGGACTCCATGTTATGACTATGATGTGACTGTCTCTTTGTGACACGTATGTCTTTCGATGTGTGACGTGACAATGACTATATAAACTGTGTACTGCCTTTATTCTGTCGGAGAGAAAGAAACAAAGTAAACCATTGGAACTTGAGAGAAACTTAAATAAACTTCCAGAGTTTGGCGCACCACGATCCGTCTCTGTCTGCTGAATCCTTACAAAATCTCTCTTGAATTGTAGAAGTGAATAAATATAGATTGATTGAATGAATGAATTTTTCATATATATTATGCAGCGGTGGCTCTCATGAATGAAGCGTCTGCAGCGTCTTGGACGCAGCCTGGCTCGGGGTAGAAGTGCGCATTGAAGCGCTGTACACTTCAAAGAGCGTTTGCGGTCCAGATTTCACAAAGAAACTCTGGAGCCAAAACTTCTGCACATGTGGCCGACCTCTCACGGCACTCGCTGTGCACTCTGGACAGGGCAGTGAGACATTTGTGAATGAGCAATACCATCGATGCGTTATTGGGGTGTGTGTCTGTGTGAGGGTTACACAAATCTAATGAAATAACACATTGCTTTAGATGTGAATGAGGAATACAAATAGCCGTGCGTAATTACGCAGCGCAGAGCCTGCCACAGCAATAGCTGGGTCACACATCCCTGTTGCGTAAAGTGTATTTATATAGAGCCTTTCACTGTCCAGGATCACAAAGCGCTTCACATTTTAAAAACATACAGATCAAAATAATACACACACAAGTCAGATTTAATAGAGGGTTCTCATCATGAGCTGTGATGTGTCTTTCAATCACACGTTTCAGCTTCAGTGTCCAGATTCAGCAATCCAATTCAGTCCAAATTATGTCCAAATTCAGAAATCCAGATTGTTCCAAATTATGTCCAAATTGTGTAATCCAATTGTTCCAAATGATGTCCATGCAAAAGAGGACGATGGTGTTGTCCATGTCTCAGCAGCTCACAGCCTGACCGGAATCAGGGGCTGTGCAGATTGTCCAAGTGTGCTGGTCCAGATGCATTCTCTTGAGGTTTCTCAGTTTTGGCTTAAAAAAAAAAAACACTTTTTGTGTAAAAAAAAAAAAGTCTTCTGTTCTCTAGATGTTACAGACAAGGCCCGTGACATGTCTGGGATTGCGTCTTGTTACGGGCAACGACCTATTGTGCCAGTTGTGCACTAGATGGCGCTCCCGTTGCCCTTTGTGTTTGTGTGTGCGCCTTCGTGTTCTGTACAGGTGTCTGTGCGGGAGATCTATTGGAGGGACTTGAAGTGTGGGCGTGGCCGGTCTGACACCTGAGTGGCTGTAGTGGGACAAGAGCGTGGACGTCTTCCAACCTCGGGGATCCATCACTGAGGGCGTCCCCATAAAACCTCCCACTTGCCGTCAGCTCGGGGCAGCTGGACTTGTCCGTGCCAGTCTGCCGTCACTGCTCCTCCTGTATTGTTCTGTTCCCTTACGTTGTCACTTTGTAATTTTGAGCTCTAGTTTTGTATAGTGACCTTCGTTTTGTATTATCAATATTATTATTATTTCTGTATTCCTCCTTCGTTTCCCAATTCATTTTATTTTCTGTCATCATTAAAACCTTACTTTAAAATGGACAAATACCAATTCCATCTGGTTTTTTGCTACGTTCTCACTCCCTAGCTGAGCTGGACGTAACAAAATTGGGGGCTCGTCCGGGATCGGAAAATCCTTTTCCCATGTTCATTTAAAAGAAGTAGGTACCAAATTTTGGTAGATTTAATAAGTGAATTGTCGTGCGCAATATTCTCAGGTGTTCCCGTGCAAACTTTTAATATGGCTGACTTTGACAGATTTTTATCACATCCTACAGAGGAGGAGTTGAATAAATTTAAGAAAACTGAGTTAGTTGATATTGCAGACCTGTGCCAAATTGAAGTGGACAAAAACTTAAAGAAAGCAGAGTTGAAACATATTGTTGCATCCTGGCTGGTGGAGCATGGCGGCATGCACGTTCCTAGGCTTGAGGTGGAGGTCGTTGCTGGTCATTCGGAGCGTCCCGAGGCAACCTCTCTGGTATTGGGCCCGGAAGTTTGTCCATCCACAGCACGCGTCCCTCCCAAAGCAGAGGAGAGGCTGACAACGTCATCTTCTCCACCCGGTGTGTCTGAGAGTAGAGGCCGGCCTGATCACCCGACCCGCTTCTCTTGGGACCACTCGCTGGGTAGCCCGTCCCGTTTCCCCCAGGTTCCTACGCGGCACAGAGTACCTGTGGAGCGCCTGGACGAGGAAGCGGAGGAAAGGGAGAGGGAGCGGCAAGCGACTATGGAACTTCAATACCGACTCAAGAAACTTGAGATCGAGGCCGAGACTGCGCTGAAAATGCGGCGGCTCGAGCTGGAGGCAGAAGGCCGTCTTCCTCTTAACCCTAGCCGGGTCGTTGCTGCTGTTGAGCCAGCCCACAGTCCAGTCCAACCTGTTGATGTGAGTAAATATGCTTCGCTTTTTCCTGACTTTCGTGAGTCTGAAATTGACAGTTATTTTTCTGCTTTTGAACGCATAGCCCAGGCTATAAATTGCCCTCCTGAGCTTTGGTCCACATTGCTCCAGTGTAAGTTAACTGGGAAAGCACAGGAAGTTTCTGCTGCTCTGTCTTTGGAGGAAAGCATGAGATATGAGTCTGTTAAAGTTGCTATTTTACGTTCGTATCAGCTGGTCCCTGAGGCCTACCGGCAGCGCTTCAGAGGCCTCCAGAAGGCCCCAAACCAGACCTATGTAGAGTTTGCCCGAGAGAAACACACTTTATTTGAGAAATGGTGCACTTCATCACAAGTTAATTCATTTTGTGATTTGCGTGAATTAATTTTGTTGGAGGAATTCAAAGATAATTTAGCGGAGAGAGTTGTTATGTATTTGAGTGAACAGAAAGTTACCACGTTACAGGAGGCCGCGGTGTTGGCTGATGAATTCGCCCTGACTCATAGGACCACATTTGGTACGGCGAATAACCGGTCCTTTGTCTCAGAGCCAATTCGTAGGTCTGCCAACACGCCACCCGTTCACAAAGAGCAACGAGAGTGTTTTTACTGTCACAGACCTGGACATGTCATCTCTAACTGTTTGGCTCTTAAGCGTAAATCCAATTATTCTGCCACGGACTCGTTTGCTCAGTCCCAAGATTGATTTTGTTTGGTCGCAGGAGTGTGACCATGCGTTCTCCAGTTTAAAGTTTTTGTTGTTCGCTCTTCAGCATTTTGAGGTATATGTTGGGTCGAGTTCTTTGCCTGTGTTGGTTTTTACAGACCATAACCCTCTTGTCTTTTTGTCCCGCATGTTTAACCATAATCAGCGGTTGATGAGGTGGGCTCTGATGGTGCAGGACTTTCATCTCGAAATCCGTCACAAGAAAGGAGTGGAAAATGTGTTGGCCGATGCCCTGTCCAGGTTTTGACAGTCCATCGCTATAGTACCCCCTGGTTATTACCGTAGTTCCAATTGGCTACTTGACCGTGTTTATTGAAAATGAGTAGTTTCGCTCTTAAGGGGGGGAGTGTTACGGGCAACGACCTATTGTGCCAGTTGTGCACTAGATGGCGCTCCCGTTGCCCTTTGTGTTTGTGTGTGCGCCTTCGTGTTCTGTACAGGTGTCTGTGCGGGAGATCTATTGGAGGGACTTGAAGTGTGGGCGTAGCCGGTCTGACACCTGAGTGGCTGTAGTGGGACAAGAGCGTGGACGTCTTCCAACCCCGGGGATCCATCACTGAGGGCGTCCCCATAAAACCTCCCACTTGCCGTCAGCTCGGGGCAGCTGGACTTGTCCGTGCCAGTCTGCCGTCACTGCTCCTCCTGTATTGTTCTGTTCCCTTACGTTGTCACTTTGTAATTTTGAGCTCTAGTTTTGTATAGTGACCTTCGTTTTGTATTATCAATATTATTATTATTTCTGTATTCCTCCTTCGTTTCCCAATTCATTTTATTTTCTGTCATCATTAAAACCTTACTTTAAAATGGACAAATACCAATTCCATCTGGTTTTTTGCTACGTTCTCACTCCCTAGCTGAGCTGGACGTAACAGTCTTAAATTCAGACAGAAGACATGTTTTATTGTCGATGGTAGACACAGCACGAACACGAACACAGATACAATAGAATGCAAGTGTATTATACAGAGCAGAGGCATGGAGACCTCCAATCAGCAGCTTCCACAGTGTGCTTGTAGCTTGGCCTTCAGATAGACACAACAAGGGAAAAGTACTGGCTTCTGCACATTGATAGAATGATGAGTTTAACTTTAACAAAAGTTGCTTCAAAGTGTTATGAAATCTCACAAATGTCTGCTTAGTTTTAACACTAGCAAACCCAAGCGAAATTGGCCCCTGTTTTGAAAAGAAGGATAGGTTGACTGCCAACATTTGCATGTATTGATTTGCAAATTTAGGTAATGACTTATAACAGCAGGGGCCTGGGGTGGGCTTTGTTTATTCGTGCGGGGGAGGGAGAGCTGCAAGAGATTAGCATCTGGACCAGCACACTTGGACAATCTGCACAGCCCCTGATTCCAGTCAGGCTGTGAGCTGCTGAGACATGGACAACACCAGCGTCCTCTTTTGCAAGGACATCATTTGGAACAATTGGATTACACAATTTGGACATGATTTGGAACAATCTGGATTTCTGAATTTGGACATAATTTGGACTGAATTGGATTTCTGAATCTGGACACTGAAGCTGAAACGTGTGATTGAAAGACACGTCACAGAAGAATTCATGGCTCGACACAAATGCAGCCTGAAGAAATCAACACGGAGAAGTGGGAGAGACTGTTTTCAAAGCAATATCTGGAACCACATCGACTGATGAAGTTTGGTATTTTACTGAAGATTGTTGACAAGTTTTATGAAAGATCTGAACATGTTTTATGAGTTATCTGAGTTTTTGAAGTACCGAGTTTGAGTTTTTGAAGTATTGAGTTATGATGTTATGTTGCTGTTTATCGATCCTGATGGTCACACGTGAATGTATGACCAGAGGGGGGAATGTGAGATTTCATAACACTTTTAAGCAACTTTTGTTAAAGTTAAACACATCATTCTATCAATGTGCAGAAGCCAGTACTTTTCCCTTGTTTTGTCTATCTGAAGGCCAAGTTACATGGCACCGTGGCAGCTGCTGATTGGAGGTCTCCATGCCTCCGCTCTGTATAATACACTTGCATTCTATTATTTCTGTGATCGTGTGCTTTGATCGTGCTGTCTCTACCATCGACAATAAAACATATCTTCTGTCTGAATTTAAGACGCGATCCCAGACTTTGTCATCTTCTTCAGAGCAAATGCAGTAAATATGTGAAAGACATACATCGATACATACATGCATACACACACACACACAGTACATATAAATGTGTATTTTACTCTCACTAAATATAGTCGTGTGTAACTTTACTGTAGTATTCAGCTGTACAGTGTTTAGTGCTCACCAAGATCTGATTTTTTGCTTTGAAAAAAGCAGAGAGAGTAAAGTGTCACAATGAAAACATGACTAAGTCATTTGACTGTTGTTCATACTCAATGTTGTCAGGACTTATAATTTTGACGACACAGACAATTTCATTGACATGAAGACTTGCTTTTTTTTTTTTGTAATATTTTTTTTTTGTAATTTTCTTTATTTAGAGAAACAGGGACAGTGTACAATAAACATTAACCCCAAGGGGAGAGATGCATTGTACCAAGTTATAGCTCAAGAGCTAATTTCCACCCGTAGTCCCTGGGCAGGCTGATGTTATAGTAAAAAACATAAAAACATCATGCACACATGGATAATGGCATTTACATTGATCAAGTTCATAATAGTAAAAGCAAATCTTCACATGCACAACAATCAGATACAAGCTCTTATACACACCTTTCATTTACTCGGGTCTACTCTTTTACAGTAGACCTCAGAACACACATACAGACATACATCCAGTTACATGTGGATGCAAGATTGATTTGACAGGAGCCATTTCTTTGCCAGGCGTGAGAATGTGTAAAAGTTTGTGCTTGTTATCAGCTCTGTAGGCAGCATATTCCACTGACGAGCGGCCACACAAGAAAAAGCAGAGTTTCCAAATGCTGTCTTTCGCTTTGGTATCCTACATTCGCCTCGCACTGTAGATCTAGTGGCTCGAGTTGTTGTTTCAGAGCCCAAAGAGATGAACGTTTTTAGTGGAGGAGCAGCGGTGTCATGGAGGATCTTATACATCAGACACAGATTGTTATGATTTATCAAATTTTCAAAGCTAAGTAATTTGTATTTTACAAGGATATGACAGTGATGGAATCGTCTGCCTTTTTTATCATGTATCTTTAGAGACGTTTTATATAATGACTCAAGTGGCCTGAGGGCAGATTTACAAGCCTGTGACCAACTTGTCATACAATAAAGAAAATGTGGAACAATCATTGCATTTAGATAGGCTCCTGAGGCCTCGATTGTAAGGAAATTTTGAATGTATCTGAACTGTGCCATATTAAATTTTATTGTATTTGATAACTTTTTTATGTGCTTTTTAAAGCCTAAATTTGGTTCCAATATGACACCTAAATATTTTACCTGCTCTGAATTTGTAATGATTTGTCCATCAATTAAAATCTCAGGGCAATTTTGTATTTTATGACGATTTGTAAAAAACATCGAAACAGTCTTATCTAAATTTAAAGTAAGGCATGAGTTTTTCAGCCACAGAGAAACTTTCTTCATCTCATTAGTCAGTTTTAGAGCAACTTCTTCCGCAGTTTTGCCATGTGCATATAGCACCGTGTCATCAGCATACATAATAATTTTACTCTTAGAGACAGTTGGCAGATCATTTATGTATAGTGTAAACAGCAGGGGGCCCAGAATGGAACCTTGTGGCACTCCCATGCTGCAAGGTTTTAAGGGTGATTTTATATTGTCGACTGCAGCACATTGTTGTCTGTCATTAAGGTAAGATTGAATCCATGCTATTGTATTTTTGTCAAGAGAAAAATTAGATAGTTTGCCGATGAGAAGCTGGCGATTAACTGTATCAAAGGCTTTTCTCAAGTCCAGAAAGACCGCCCCTACCACACCACCAACATCAAGATTGGATTTGATGTCCTCTAGTAGGTAGCAACACGCGGACTCTGTGGAGTATCCTTTCCTGAAACCAAACTGGCAGGGATGTAATGCATCAGTGTGGTCGAGATGCTCCACTAGCTGCTCTGCCACCACCTTCTCAAAGACCTTGGAGATGGCTGGTAGGATACTAATAGGTCGATAGTTTGACACACAGAGCTTGTCTCCTGACTTGAAGATCGGCTTGAGTACTGCTTTTTTCAGCGCCAAAGGAAAATTGTTTTCATTTATAGACTGATTCACAGCTATTGTTAGTACTGGAGTTAGAATCATTTTGTGTTCTTTTAAAAGAAATGTATCAAGTCCAAAAATATCCTTTGCTTTACTATTTTTTAAATTTGCTATTATTTTGGAAATATTGTCTTCCTCTATACTCTGCAACCTACAGCGAGACTGTAGGTTGCAGAGGGCATTTCCATCCCCAAGATCATCTCTGCAGCAGTTTACTTCAGAAAAAGCCTCTGCCAGGTCTACCACAGAATCCAAGAAATAATCATTGAAATGTTTAGCCAGAATAGAGCCCTCATTTTGAACTATTCCATTAATTTTGAGCTGTAAGTGCTCCGGATATATTTTTTTCCTTCCCAATAGATTATCCATGCTCCTCCACAGATTTTTACAATTACCTTTTGCCTCTTTGATTAAGTCAAGAAAAAAATTTGCTTTTGCTTTTCGAAGCAGCATGGTAACTTTATTTCTCATAGATTTATAGATGTAATAATCAGTGGTTAGTTTACTTTTTAATGAAACCTTGAGAGCTTTATCTCTATGTTTCATTGTGTCCCAGAGAGATTTATTAAACCACGGGAGCCTTTTTTTATTTGATTTTCTATGTTTGAGCTGTGTATATCTATACATTTTATCCTTTATAGTAGTTATAATATTGTCGCATGTATGACCACAGCTTTCACTATCAATTTTGGAGGTCCAGTCGATTTCATTTAAATCATTTTTAAGGAGCTCTTGATTTCTTTTAGAAATATGAGGAATTTTGCACAACAAAATTAGAACAAGATTGTGATCAGACAGTCCAGTT